ACCACCCCAATATTCTTCCCCGCCATCAAACTATTCACAAGTGGAAGCAAAACATGAAAGAAACTGTCAAAATATTTTTAGAAAAAGAGAATCGAAATATACGTTTCCCCATCCACTACGGTCTGATCGCCTTAGTTCCGCTTTGAGAGAAGAGAAACAAAACGAATTGGAGTATTGCTGAAGAAGCACACCACCAAAATATTTTTGCTTCTTTCGATTTTTCTTAGGAAAATAGAGGGCTCCATTTGTCTTCATAGATGCCTTGCAAAAAGTAGTCTGCGATACCCTCTTCTATATTTAAAAACCCAAGCAAAAGCCCTCTTCGGTTTTAGAACTCCTGTAGGAAAACTTCTACAACTTTTTATTTTTATAGAGATAGAATATCACGTGGTCTTCTGTCAACAAAAGTACTGTATTTCCAATGCAAGTGCTCAAGGAGGTCATATGGTTCATAAAAGAGGTGTAGGTGTAAAGGTGTATAGAAGGTCGTAGCTTACGCCGACGATGAGGTCTTGCTGATTGCTGGGAAATTCCCGCAAACTGTTTCAGATCTTATGCAGGGAGCTCTAGTTAAACTTACCAGATGGACACGGTGCAATGGACTTGGCGTGAACCTATCTAAAACTTAGCTCGTACTCTTCACAAGGAAACCGAAAATCCCAGACTTTTCGCTGCGAATACTTGATGGTGTAATGCTAAGCCTTTCTTCGGAAGCCAAATATCTCGATACCGTCCTAGACTAAACTGGAAGAGGAACATCGAGGAGCGATCGAAGAAGGGCTTAATTGCACTTTACTCCTGCAAAAACACCATAGGAAAGAGCTGGGGACTTAAGCCTCACATAATCAAATATTTATATAAATCAGTCGTCCGGCCAATCCTAACCTATGGAGGGCTACTTTGGTGGCACTCTCTATGGGAAAACTACCTTCAGCAAAAGCATTGATAAAGTCGAAAGATTTGCATCGCTACTAATTACAGGCGCGTTTAGGCGCGCCCAATCTGCACTAGATACACTACTCAACTTAAAACCCTTAAATCTATTTGTAGAGAAGCAAGCTGCTAGGTGTGCCCTGCGACTCAATGAGCTGGGACAATGGCGGAGTCATCCTATTGGACACTCCGTCATTCTCAAGTATGTGGAGAACATAGAAAATCAGCCTATAGCCAGTGATTATAAATCACATATGCAAAGCTTTGAATTACTTGATATCTATATACCTAACAGAGACGCCTGGACCCCCAACACTCCACCTTTTTACGATATAGCTGTCTATACTGATGGGTCAAAGATGTGAAAGCCTAAGTATCCAAAGATCCTCCAAACTAAACAACGACTGCAGCGTTTTTCAGGCAGACATCTTTGCTGTCAGGAAGGCCATAGAGCTACTGGCAAACAGAATTAACGAGATGGATGGACCGCTGACTGTATATGTCGATAGTCAAGCGGCCCTGAAGGCTCTAAATTATTTTACAATCAAATCTATGGCAGTTCTGGTTTGCTGAAATGCTCTGGAAAAGTTTAAGTCGTTTGTCAAATTCTGTTGGGTGCCTGGACACTGCAACAAATCTGGCAGTGCATCGTCTGATGAATTGGGCAGACGCAGATTTGAGTCAGTAGATCTCGAGATTGAGAGCTCAGTGAAGCCACCTTTATGCCATTTCTTCCAAGTACTGGATAAACATTATCTTGGGAGATTTCAACAGAACTGGCTAACTGGAAGGCGATGTAATGTCTCCAAAAAGATTTGACCGGTGAACTCCGAAAGAAGATCAAAGTCACTCATATCCATGACAAAGTTGGACTTGAAGCTTTGGTCACCGAGTGGAGTTGTTGTTTACACAACCACGCATCCTTTAACCTAACCTAACATTGCCCTCAATAATGATGATGGGGCCATAATTTTAGTAACTTCAGGGAAAAAATAACGAGAGAAGCTATTCAAACCTCTGGTTTATTTCCCATTCTAATGAGTTTATTGGTTATCTTGTTCACTGCGACCATGGGTCATGAGTGCCTGATTCTCTGTCCCCTATTCGTAGCCAGATCTACTGTTTTATGAAGTAAGATGTAGGTTAGGTTAAAGGATGCGTGATTGTTTTAACAACAACCAGATGTGTGATGTAATTTAATTTCCTCTACACCCATTGCTTAATCTTAAGTTTGGTCAACAAGAAAATCAACGCTCTAGACCATTACCACTCTGAGGCAACCGCAACTGTTACACAGAATGACTACATCGCAGAAATGGTTATTAGTAGTACATTCTATAGATTTTATTATTGTAATGATCTCAGCTATCATTGAAGATACGTCATAACGAGCATGTATGAAAACAGGTCCAAAGAGAAATTTTGGAGATACAAATTATAAAATAAAATTGTTCATTATATTATTATTTTTTGCACATTAAACCTTAAATCTTATGTATGCATTATAAATATCAGTGTTATTCGTTTATATATTCAATCATTAAAAAAGTAGGGCGTAAGGTGGTCGGGGATAGGGCCATAGAGTCGGAATTGTAGACGACTAATAACACTAATAACAAATGTTTTCCTTTATCTGCATAAGGTAACAATACAGCTGATAAGTTATCGCATTTGGGTCTAACACATAACCACTAAAGCATTAAGGACTTTCGTGGTTTACATCCCTATTACATCAACCTATTATATTAAGGTATAGATTCTTCTGTTGGTTTTGTTTGGATAAAAAATGCGCTGCTTCAGGAATTCCGCAACTGCTCCAGTCGGGAATAGAAACGATTTATAATGAGCAGTTTAGTTAGGAGGGCGGTCTGCCTAGTATTTCAAGTACTGCATAAGCATTATCTTGGGAGATGGGCAGAACAGGGTAACTGGAAGGGGATGTAATGTCTCCCAAAAGATTTGGCCGGTGAACTCCGAAAGAAGATCAAGGACACTCATATCCATGATGAAGTCGGACTTGGAGCTTTGGTCTTATTACAGTACACTGCAAAATAAGAACCGTAAATTCAAAGTGTGGGGGGGGAGGTTACGATACTGAATACTGCATGCTTTGTCAGGACGAGGAGGAAATTGAGATGGTGAAGCACTTACTCTACCACTGCCCAACTCATATCGGAGAATAGAAACGATTTATAATGAGAAGTTTAGTTAGGAGGGTGGTCTGCCTAGTCTAGGAATGCCTTTGGCAAACTTGCAAATGATGATGGGATCTATGCCTTAGAAGAACATTATCACCCAACTGCCAAATGACCTATGTATCTTGTTGCATAGTAGATGTTTAATCGTCTCTACATCTTCTTTATATTTCCATATTCTACAGTAGCCGAGAACACTTGAGGTCAGGTATCTGATATTGCAATGCCCACTATGGTTCTTAGATATGCCTACTACGTGATAGGAGGAACCTTGTTCTTCTCCTCGAGATTACCGGCCAGATGGCCTTCAATACCCTGTAACCGGTTTACAAGTGTCATCTCACAGCTTCTTCGATTAGACATTTCTTTAAGAAGTTTATTGCTTGTTTTACAGTCTCATCGTAGCTTCCGTTAACACTTGTTTTGCATGTCCCATAGTTGTGGGCAAATGTTTTGATATAGTGTCTTGTATTGATTGTGAATATCAAATTTGAAACACCTCCGTTGAAAAATAGGGCTAAAATCATCAAAATACTAAACCAATTAATAGGCAATAAAATTCTGTTAAAAATTTAGCAGAAAATATTAAAATATCGAATATTGGAAGGCACCACTATATCATTATATACGCTATAGAGAAATATGGGCCTACATGACCCATTTATAAACTTCACCCTCCTACTGACAACGTAAACATATGTGAAAAATTTTAGCACTTTATCTCAATTTGTTCTAAAGATAGCATGATTTAACATTTTATCCTGATCAAAAGAATATATACTTTGTTAAATTAAAAATGAAATTGGCTTTTACTTTAACGTTGGTAAATGTTCATGCAGTCTGTTCTAAAATATCACCAATACACCTCCAAAACAATATATATACAAAGTCCTCCTCTCTGCTACACGCAGTAATATTTCGTATTTATATCACACAAATACAATAGCAACAGCAAAAACAAAAACAACGATAAACACGTTCAGGAATGAAACGAAACAAACGCATAGAACAAATAACAACCCAAAGATTACCCACATATATGGACAACAGCAAGCCAGCCAGGCAGTCAGCCTAGCTAGTCGTCAGTGGTTGACTTAGTGAGACGACAGCGACGACGACCAAAGACGACTTACACAGCCAACAATGAAAGAAAAATAAAAACATAGTTATTTTGTGGGTTATTTTTGTTGGTGTAAAAATATGGCGGCTTAAAGAAAGATATATAGGCAACAATATGCATCAGAAACAACAATAACATTCACCACGAGAGGGAGAGAAAGAGTGAGTCTCGTAAGTGTAACATCACCCAAAAGAGATGAGAGAGAGACCCAACTGAGTGTGACACCGAAAAATGTGTGTTGTTTCAAGAAGTGAAGTAAAGTAAAAAAGGAAAGGAGAAAGAAAAACGTCAACCAAAAATTCACACACTACACACATAATCCAAATCGTTTGTCCATCCAAAAACAAAAAGGGGATGTGCATTAAAGCGAAGACAGGCATGCCAGGAAAGGCAGCAGCATGTATGGATGGAATGGTATGGTTAAAAACGTAGTCATCATTTGCCTTCAAACAGAACACACGAATTACCTAGGGTTTTGATGGACAATGGAAATGAAGCAAAGAAAACGAATAAAAACAACAACAAACAAGCAATGTGAAATCAAAAACTCACTACTCATTTGCATCGTGGGGAAAAATACAATATTAAACAACTAAAGTGTGAACTGTCAGAAATGTAGACCATACTGCAGTTGAATGATTGCATGGATCTTACATTTTTAGTGACAAGATCACCATCTTGCTGCCCACTCCCCACCGGGCGGAGTAGACAGCCAGGATATTAATTAGCTATCTTATCAACATTGCACTTACCATGTTCATCTGTAAAGAAATAGTTGATTGTTTCACCTGTCGTAGAAGCAGGGCCTGAAGTCGCTGCTGCTGTGGATGAGTGCGCCATTTTTTGTGTGCTTTTTCCCAGCGCGTAATGTATTGCGTTTTGTTGTTATTTTTACTTTCTTTGCTGGCCTTCTGCTATACAACAATTATTACTAAACAATTTATGGAAATATGTACGACAGACACAGCTTCGTAACTCTGAATTGTAGCTGTGGCGGCTGGGTTGGCTGGCTGGCTGGTTGCTTGCTTGAAGTTGTTCAATAGTTCTTCTTTCTTTCGTTTGGGGTTATTTCTATTTTCGTTTCGCTACAAAACACACAACAACAAATTAATATAATGATGATGATGATGAAGAGGCACCTTATCACACACACCACACACTCATTTCGTTTTTCTCAAAGGTGGATAATAAACAACAATAAGTAGAAAAAAAAAGCGCTCAGAAACCTTTATAAATTGGTTGGTTTTGAACGGTTGATGACGTTTCGGATTTCTTTGGCTGAAACTCGGCCCCTCAAAGAAAGGCGGCCAAGAATTTCAACCAAAAAACAAGAACACTATAATTACACGTCCGCCTGCCTGCGTTTTTATCTATTTTCGATTTTAACCGCAACCATTTCTTATCATTTTTTTTTTCTTTTGTACATGCACTTCTTTTTTTTTTTTGCCTTCTCGAACGCCGCCGAGACAACTGATGGACTAAAGCAGAAAAAATGTCTTCTTTTTATGGCTCGTTTGCGTATTTTTAATTAAACTTTTACAGATTTCTTCTTTTCGTGCCCTTCCCATCCAAATATTTAATTTGGGACATTCTTTTTTACATAAACTCCTCTAGAAATGGATTCATAAACATCAGCAATTACTTTTATGTTGGAAAAAAATCACTTTTTCACGAGTCAAAATGGCGAGAAAAGGAATTTAATTCCAGCGTTTACGTTGGTTTTTTCTCTTTTCACACCACACACACACCGAAAAGTACGATTTTTACCCGACGCTTTTGGGGCACTTAGCATTCACCGATTTTTATCATTTTTACGCCAAAAAATTAAGAAAATTCGAAATTTTCCAATGGTGAAAATTTCATGGAAATCGGTTGGGTTTGAGTCCATGAAAAGGGGTATCAAAATTTTCTTAGAATTTACCCAAACGTCGTGTTGGACTAAGATGAGCGAGCAAATGACCCGATGTCTCAGCTGTTTTTACGCGCGCCAAACAGGCATCGTCGGTGTTGTCAATGTTATGAAAAGGCAATAGATGCAACTTGCATTTACGGCCAAAACTGAAAATCTTCTATTCTAGTTGATTTCCATCAACAAATATATATTGAAAATTTTTGAATGGCCCGTATGAATTATTTTGAATACTACCATTTAAATATTACATTAAAATAATGTAATTGTTAATGCAAACAATTCGTCAAATCCCTCAAAGATCGCTACAAATTGACATTGTTATTTTTGTTTTCCTTCTACACACCATTTGACACATCCAGTGATGATTTTTGCCCCAGCAATGCTGCCACACCACAACAAAACACATATCTGGGTTATCTAAATGCACGCGTTGCTGCCACAAGTTCTTGTTTAGTACGGATAGCGTATGCTATTTATAATGCTAGGAACACAATTGGAGCGAACGACGAATTTCGCCCTACGCGACGACAAAATGAGCCGCGAAAATTCGTCGTATGGAACACAATACCGACGAAATTATAAAACAGCTGATGAAGTTGTTTACTTTTTGCTCATTTGTTGACTACAATGAATTATACAAGAACACATAATTCTTTACGTTCTCTATTATAATTTCACTTATGTCCATCTTCTCTATTATAAATTCACTGATATCCATCTTCACTCAGGCGCAAGTACACAAATAAATAAACAAATTAATTATGTTTTTTTTTTATACGAGTAACAGATAGTAGAGTGACCATAACAAATTTTAAAGTAAAAAGTAACTTTATTTACTAAAACACATAAAATTCATACAAGTATGGCCACCTTGTACTGTTTTGTTCGCCGGTCGCCGGCGTATGAAATAGAAATAAAGCTAATTGAGTTCGCGGCGACCGACGAAATTTTCGCCGGTGCCGTGATTGTGTGCACTTCCATATACACATATGTGTTTTATTTTTGACGACGAACATACGCCGCGAAAAAATTCGTCGTTCGCTCCAATTGTGTTTCTAGCATAAGACGTTGTATTAATGGAACGTATATGTGCAACGTTTTCTTTCATAAAAATGTCAAGAATCATAACTTCAACTATTATTAGGCAGAAACAAAGCTGCAACAAATTGGTATTATAAGTGCGAGGAACAAATAATACGTCAAGTAGTCTGGGATAAGAAAACTACTTTTGTCAGCAATTTGACACAACATTGTAGTTGACAACAAACTTTGTAGTTATAGAAGCTTTCTGGCCGACCTTGTTACTGGTGCTATAAAAATTTCTCCCTATTAAGATTAGGCGATTGCGGCGATTTTTATCGTTTCCGTTTTAATTCCCTCTTGAATTCATGGTACAATAAAAAGGTAAGGTGTAGCTACCAGCTGATTACAACATTTTTCTAAGTGTGCCCGACTTCTGCTAATTTTGTGTATGTATTTGTTGTTTTGAAAAATGAAAACAAAATATTTTCAAAACCAATGATTGGAACGTACACGTACATTGCGGCTCGCGCATTAAAGCTGTTAACCAGCCTAGCCATTAAATTGAATTTCATTTCGCGACATTTAACTCATTCAAAAATTGAGGAAAAAAACAAGTTGTTGTATATAATTTTGAATGAGTCTTTCATGAAGCGGGCCTAGCCTCAGGGATGTATTTCTGTTGTTTTAAGAAACTGTTTTACCTGCTTGCATTTATACAAGGAATGTATTGAAATAAAAACAAAAAACCAGTTTCTGGAAAATTGAAGTATATCAATGTCGAATGAAATATATAAAAAAGAAGAATATATATTTAATCAAGTTTTCATAGAATAAGAACACGGTTCTCTAACCCATTTATTGAGTTACCGACAAAAATGGGAAAAATCAAAATGCTAAAATGTTGGTAATTAACGACATTTTTCATCAAGATACCGACCAAAATGAAGTAGTCGTTAAGTCCTAACGGTAGCAACAGTGTTGCATACATTAATTTGGGCTTTTCATTCATAATTTTGCGTTCTAATTTAATTTTAAAATGAGTTAGAAAAACGCGCTACAACAATTATCAAACAATTGGTCTGTTCCAGAACCTGTGAGAATCTACTAGTTTTTCAAATTTCTCCGATATCATAAAGGGAAAATGGGTTATCGTAGTAAATATATATATATTCTTGCAACAGACCATGTGTAGTTAACAGAAAACTTACGATGAGGTTACATAAGCAGCTTGGCATCATGGCTAGGCATATTAATGTCAAATTATAATGGAAAACGATGGCAGGATTTTAGTGCGGCTCTGTGATCCCTTTATGAAATGTCACAAAATATGCCTAGTCATGACTTCAAGCTTTTTATGTACTTGCACCTCTAGAGAGTAGCATTACAACAATTACCCAACAATTGGTCTGTTCCAGATCTTGCAAGAATCCACTAGTTTTGCAATATTCTCCGATAACATATAGGGAAAATCGGTTATCGTAGTAAAAACTTTTACAAACTTGATTTGAACAGCTCTACCTAACATTAGACGTACTCAGTCAAAATTTTTTACCACCCAAGTAAAACACATGGTAGAATTAAATTACAATTACAATTATTTTTTCAAAATTATTCTTTTATTGCCAAAAAATATATTTATAAATCCATTGTGCATGCATATATCAGAGATGGAAACTTGTTTTATATGCAGTGAAATTTGACAAGGTGGAAATGCTTATTTGAAATGACTTTACCTTCTTAATTTTACTATGGTAAAATACATGTATTTATATGAAAGTAACCCAAATACGTCGGGCGTAGAAAATTTCAAAGTTTAACAATTTTAATATTGACAGTTGAACAATTTCTTTTTTTTTGTTGAAAATAAAAATAAATAATGAGAATGTTTGTAATTGAAAAATATAACAAATGAGAAAGCTATGAAAATTATTAATTAAACAACGTTATCTGCTGGTATATTTAAAGATTTGAACGTGACATATTTGGGTAATACGGACTACAAAACATTTTACCGTAGTGGGGAAGTTGGAAACTTGTGCACGCTACGTTGAATTTTAGGTAACGCTGTGAAATTCTCAAAATTTATTTATTTTTTACTTCATTGTCAAAAATGGGTGTACAACTGGCAAAATACATATTTCAACTTTTCTGGGGTTTAGACCTCAAACACCGATTTAAATTAAAACTTGACTTGATGACTATGTTACGACTAAAGGCATCGAAAAGTGTTCTTAAGTTGAGAATATATAAAACGCTTTATTGAATGGCTTAAGTCATCGGCAATGATTGAAATATTCATTTATTCATAGCAATAGATTTCATTTGACACGTTTGCGTGTACGTCAAATGAAATCCACTGGATTTGAAAGTCGATTTAAGTTGGGGTATACGCTATGGAAATCCATTCGTTTAGTAAGTGTACCATAAGGATAAAGGTAAAATAAGGAGGTAGAACAGCTTCTTATGGGCAGAGAAATAAAGCCCTGATGCTTTGGCCTCTTCCTGTCAAAAATTTTTAAAATTAAATACAACAAGTTGTTATCACTTATTTGATATTTTTTTCATTTTCTAAAATGAGTTAAATAGCGCGTCAGATGAATGAAATACCAATTCAAAACCGATTCCACTGCCAAACCAGTTAACCGGCAAAACCGCATTGCACGTTCTATGGTATAATTAAGAAGGTAAAGTCACTTTAAATAAGCATATCCATCTCCGCATTTTCTGTAATTTACCTTGTCAAATAAAGAAAATGTTCCCATCTTTGATTTGTGATTGTACAATGGATTTACAAGAATACATTTTGACAGTGTGTTGTCAAATGGAACATTTTGAAAAAATTGTGAACATATGATTGCATGATTCTACCTTCTTCATTCTACCATGGTACGTTTCTTCCCATGGTAGAAAAATTCAGGTAACAGCAAGTGTTGTTGTACAACAATCGTAACGACAACCACATACAAATTTGTTTTGTACGTAATACAAGTGTCAGAGTTATGTGCCCAAAAATGTAAACAAAATAATTCATTTTTGGAATTTGGATTATTAAATTTAAAAAAATGCTGAAGAATAGTTCCTCTATTATTTACCTTCAATGCTTTTATACCATTTCCCTGAATGTACAGTTGTAGCTGTATGTCCTAATATGTCAACACTTTTAGCAATCGCTAGAAAATCGTGGATAAAGCAACATCCCTTTCAAATTAAAAGCAAACTGCTTACACACATAAAGTATTCTACATTTTGAAATTTTAGGAAACATGAAATATACGACTATGTTGCGCGAAATACGACCTTTTTAATCGCGAAAAACGTTTTCGCACCATCGCAGTTGGCGTTTTGTTAAGTACAACGGCGATTTTTTCTAAAATTATAAGCCAAAAACTGTTCACATTGCCCTGCAGAGAATTTTTATATTTAAAAATGGTATACCTATTGTATATTAAGAAATGGAATTAAGGCTGGAAATACATAAGGCTGGAAATACATAAAGAGCATATTTGGCTGGCTTAAGTCATCGGCTGGCTTCTTCGGAAATGAACAAAGGAGCCTAGGGCCAAAATAGAACTAAGTTAACCTAAAACTCCTTTGTTCATTTACGAAGAAGCCAGCCGATGACTTAAGCCAGCCAGATAAGCGCTTTATGTATTTCCAGCTTAAAGCGCATATTTGGCTGGCTTAAGTCATCGGCTAGCTTCTTCGTAGATGAATAAAGGAGTTTTAGGTTGACCTAGTTCGATTTTGGCCCTAGGCTCCTTTGTTCATTTCCGAAGAAGCCAGCCGATGACTTAAGCCAGCCAAATAAGCGCTTTATGTATTCCCAGCTTAAATCACAAAACGTCATATCGAGTTTAACACTAGTATTACTATAGAGTCAAATAAGATGGGTCCTGCTAAAATCATCTCTGCATTTTCTGTAATTTACTATTTCAAATTTTACTTAATTGCTATTATGTACCCATCTCTGAATTGTGTAAATACAATAAATTAATAAATATACATTTTAACAATAACATGTTGTCAAA